AATGGAAGAACGTAGAACGCCGCAATTGTCTGATCTGTGAAGCCAGCCTCAACAAGACGAACTTCTGATGTAGGTTTTGGAAAGATTTAGATACATAAAACGCGTGTGCTTGCCGGCAAGTGGGAGGTTAGTTCTTAAATGGCTGAACTGACTCATCCGAAACTACCAAGTCATTTTCCTCGTTATCACGTCTAAAGACTTTCCTCCAATGCTTTGGTATTGCGTTACACAAGCCAATATAGCACAGAAAGTTTGTGTTAATTTTGTACTTCTCCTTGAATGCTGTAAACGAACTTTCCTTCCTTGTCTAGGATGTCTGGCCAGGTCTTTACGCCAGCATCATACCATTGCTTATAAAACACAGATTTGCCGCCGATAGTGACTTCATGATTATTCCTCAAGATCTCATTTTCGATTTCGTTCTTTGTCCTCACTGTGTGCTTGGATATGTTCTCCCAAGCACTGAGAACGTCTCGGTAAAAAAGAGGCAGGAGAGGGAGCTCCGGTAAAGTTTTTAACGAGTAATTACAGGGTGTTTCTTTGCTTAAATTTCACTGATTATTAAAAATACCTTTTGTAAAAGTAGGCATGTTATTCATTATTCATTTAACATTGACCAACTGAAGTATAAGTAACCAGAATGTCTTCCTCTATGATTTCTGACATGTTCCAAGCGGTGAGGTATAGAATGTACGAGCTCCCAAAGCGTGTGTCTATATTCGCATTGTTCCAGGCCAAGCGTACTCGCTGTCTTAGCTCGTCCAGTGTTTTTGGGGCTGGATCTTTGTATGTTATCTCATCAACGATAATCCAGATGGTCTCTAGAGGGTTCACATCACGTGAGTTAGCCGGCCGTTCATCCTTTGGTATAAGGTTTGCAATTTCTTCTGATACCACGCCTGCATGAAGTGTGCAGCGCCTTTTTTCTCTTCAAGGCTTTCCAAACATTGGTCACATATCTCCATACCGTCGTGCTCGAAACTTAAATATTGTGAAGATGAAGTTTTTTTACCTTGTTGAATTATTACGCATTTATAGCTTTTTGGATAACATTTCTCCCACAGTTTGTAAAACGAAAAGACGGCCATCTACTCCTTAGTATGTCTTCTAAGTCAAAGGTCTTTACTTTTGACCACTTGTTCATGCACTCATCGTTCAGACTTCTTCGGCAATTTCACCATTGGCAATTTCTTTGACTGAATGGCCAGAATACCGTTAAAACAGATGCCTAAGGCCTTCATTTTCGTGAAAGAGTAGAAAAAATTAAAGAAAACGGCAAAAATAGAAAACCTACCAAATGGGCAGGAAAAATATGGCGGGAAAAAAACTCGCGTACATGCACATTTGGGGCAAAAATTGAAAAGTATTATATTTTCTTCAAATTTTAGTTTGAAGTTGTTTTGAACGGTTATTTAGATAAATTTCGTACCTGAATCATTTTACATTTGCCTAAAGAAGAATTAAATGCTTTGCGCAAAATACAATTTACAATCGGAACGAACTTTTGAAACACCGTCCCTGTACATTAAAACAACAACGGGTCACCCACTCTGTCTAAAAGGCTATATGGCATAGTCTTCCAAGATTGTGCTTAAGGGTCTAAAAGACGTTTTACCTACCCTGCCTTCAAAGATTTATCTATCATATTGAAATCAGGCATGCTGAGTCCACTGTCTTTTATCCTTCCAATCATTGTTGAGCGCTTGATTTTGGGTGGTTTGTGGTTCCATATAAAGTTGGATAGAGATTTGTTCACTTGATCGACAAAACCAGCGGGAACGCTGAGAACAGAGGAAATGAAAATTATTTTTGAAAGAGCTAAACTTTTGATAATCGTTATATTTCCAAAGAGTGTTAAATCTCTAGAGGATCAGACGTTAAGACACAGTTTCAAGGGCGACAAACTTTTTTTCAAAGTTGTCCTTTGTTGAAGCTTCCGAATCACACGAGAAAGAAACGCCTAGGCAAATTACGCACCTCGTGGGCCAGTTTATGTTGAAAAGGTTTTGTCGATTGTGGTCACTAGTTTTTCCAAACCACAATGCCTCCGTTTTTGTCCTATTCAGATCTAATGCGCAACACCCTCTAAAAGCCTGTAACTTCTCGAAAAGCTTTTCAACTGACTTTTCGTCACGCACCAAGCATCGGCGTATTGGGATAACTTATACTCCCTGCCTTTGAAATTTATACTCGTTATCAATTTGTCGTTTCTTATTGAATTTGCTAAAATTTCAACAGCAATTACAAAGAGTACGCCAGAAAGAGAGCAGCCTTGCCTTACACCGCGCTCTAATTCGAAAAACGACGTTGCTGATAACCATTATTTATAACGCAGCTTTGAATATTGCTGTAAAAAGTATTGACCCACTGTATTAAAGGAGCGGCGAATTAAGCGTCTCTAAAGCCTTTTTAATAAAGTTCCACTCTAAACCATCAAGGGCATTTTTGAAATATAAAAACAACGCTATACCTAGATTATAGAGCGTTTTTGCACTCCATGATGTCTGCTATTAAACGTATGTTTTGACCAATAAAGCGGCCTTTGATATACGCCGTCTGATCCTCGTGTATAAGGCTGGGTAGCACTTTCGCAATTCTAGCTGCGATTGAATTAGTGGCAACTTTATAGCTGTGTTCAGAAGCGAGATAGGCCTCCAATTAAGAGGGATGATACCTCTCTTTTGGGAAATTGACATTTCACCCTTCTCAAAAGGATAATTAAAGCTGTCAAAAATTCCGCAGTTAAGCCATCCGTACGGGGAGACTTGCCTTTGGAAAATCTTTTAAGTGAGGCATAACATTCTTCTTTTGTTAAAAGACCGTCGCAGCTGTCAGCTTGATGTGGAGACAGTTTTGGAAAGGGTTGAACAGTCGAAAAACACGTCAAAACGAGGATCATTTGGGTTTGTACGAGAAGAAGTGTAGAGCCTTTTATAGCATCTGTGCTCTTCATTTAAGATTTCATCAGTCAGAGAAGTCACAGCGATTTTCAACTCATAGTTTTGTGATGTACTTATTGGAGTGATTTCGTTTCTCGAGGTTGGAAAAATAGCGAGTGCTACGTTCCCCCCGTTCACACCACATAGCCTTACTCTCCAAATCATTGCGCCCTCAGTTTTGTGCAATGAAATCTGCTCTAGTTTCATTTTGACGTCGTAATAATTTGCAATTTATAGTCTCTTGCGTGGGTTTCTCACACATAAGCTTGTGCCAGAAGTGAGGAGAGCTTTTGCTGCAGTGCTCCTCCTTCAGCTTTCTTTGTCTTTGCATTTTGTTTGCAGTAGTAAATTGTAAGGCTTCTATTTTCCATTTTCAGCATGTCCCTATAAAGTCTTTTATCCTCTAAATAGTTGTAATTTTGTTTGTACTCGGGAATTTTTTCGCTCAGACCCTCTAGGAAGCACTGATCATCAAGGAGTGAGTTATTGAATTTGAAATATATCCT